AAACTTTGCCATCATTACCATACATAATTAACAAGCTACATGTATCTGCCCCTCTTATGACCCCTTATTGTTCATCTACTTGCCCCTCCTCCTGGCTTATTTTGCAAACCAAGCAGTTTAGCTGCAGGAGGCAGGCACAGACAGGTCCATTGTCTCCAGGTTTGGAGTTTGGCTACATTTCCTCTCGAAGGAACTTCCCGAGTTAAGACAACATATAGCTGATGTTTTCCCTTCTTCTTTCTCCCATGTGTACGTGACAAATTTGCCCCCTGGCAGTTAAGCAGAATAATTTTATATCAAACTCAACCCCAACCTGCAACACACTGACAAGTTTGTGGAAGAGTTTAGAGGCAGTGGGGCCAGATAACCTGAGCCCTGATCTCAGCTGGGGCAGGGACTGTCTCTCCCTGTGTGTCTGTGCAGCGCCCGGCACAACGGGGCCCTGATCTCAGCTGGGGCAGGGGCTGTCTCTCCCTGTGTGTCTGTGCAGTGCCTGGCACAACGGGGCCCTCATCTTGACTGCGGGGAAGGGCATGGGTCTGTGTGCTGTCTGCCATAATAGGAAAGGGGAGGTGACTTGGTTGATGGGGGCAGGGAGGGAGGTCTAGGTGCTGTTGTAATATGAATAATAAATAATTTCTGGGTAACTCCCGACTGCTGCTTCCTCGGAGCAATGAAAGCATTGAATTTCAGGGGGCAGAAGCTGTGGGGGAGAGCAGGGCGGGAGCCATGCAGGAGGCTGGGGGGAGAGCAGGGCGGAGGCTGGGGGAGAGCAGGGAGGGAGAGCTGTGGGGGAGAGCAGGGCGGAGGCTGTGGGGGAGAGCAGGGAGGGAGAGCTGTGGGGGAGAGCAGGGCGGAGAGCTGTGGGGGAGAGCAGGGAGGGAGCCGTGCAGGAGGCACGGCGTGTGATGTGCTCTCCCAGCCGGTGAGCCGGGCTCCTGCTGGCTCCCAGGACTCCAACTGCAGGGCGGTGCTGGCAGCCAGGTGAGGCAGGCAGGTGAGGTGAGGGGCCGGCTGGGGGCGCGCTCCCTTGGTGGGGCATCCATCCACGCCTGTCCTGCTGCCCTGCTCCCCTGAACGTCGGGCAGCCCAGGTGCAGTCCCTGGCGTGCACTGCTGCTGGCGGCCCCTGGAAAAAGGCCAGGGGAAGGGAGCAGCAGGCCAGGGGGTCTCAGCTCTCATGTGCTGCTGCCACCACAGCTCCCTTTGGCAGAGAACAGGAGCAGCGGCGGGGCAGGGACTCATCCACCAGCCAGGTAAGGTAACCCTGCGACTGGGAC